AAAAAAAAAAAAAAAAAAAAAAAGGAAAAAAAAAAAAAGGAAAAAAAAAAACCGCCTGAAATAAAGCGAAGCAAAACAGCGAACGGACGTATAAATAAAAGAAAGTAAGCAAAGCGATTTTTTTTTTTTCTTCCTAAAGAAAACTGTATAAGCAACTCTCATATCGGTCATTCGCCAGTTGTTTCCTGGGCGGGTTGGTAGCGACAGCCCTCTGCGTCGATATTAAGGGAAGCTGTGTGTTTAAAATATTATCGTGAAGTCTGAGAGCCACTCGGTGGCTTTTTTTGCATGTTCCGTAGTAGTCTGCTTTTTTAGGGGGGTTACGTTTTTATTTCGTTGGGTTTTCGTTGTTTATTTCTGATGCTCGTTTCGAATCCCAGGGACAAAATAATGATAATAATAATGATAATGATAATAATAATAAAAACGAAAAGAAGACCCCTCTTCCCTCTCCCTTAAAGACCCTCCCCGTAGCAACAACAATAAGAAGTGTAGCTGGAAAGAAAAAAAAGAAGTGGATTTATTTTATCTGAAAACCTCTGTAGCTCGACTGTAGGTTTATCACAGCTTTCCCTCTCTCATTGTATATGCAATAACAAGGTTTAAACACGCTGAGAAGAAGAAAAAAAGCGGACACTATTATTAAAGCAAAGTATTTATGTAATTATTTGATAACTCTTGTAAATACGTGGAATATGAATACTCGAAATTAAACTTTAATTTATTGACGTTGTACATATCTCTGTAAATACGGCTGCAGCTGTCTTTTGTTTTCTTCTCTTTTCATTTCAAGTCGGTTCTCCTTTACCTCCCCCTCCCTCCCCACATCCCAACTCCGACTCAGAGCAGCCCGGCCCGAACCTGCGGGTTCCGAGCTCAGCTCCTGGCTTTCTGTTCACCCCTCGCAAGGAGCCGCGGCTGGAAGAGGCAGAGGGGCAGCGAACAGCGTTCATCAAAGAGCTCGCAAAGAGAGAACGGCGAGAGAAACCGCGACGAAGCCGCGCTATGGCTTTTTAAATCCTCGTTCTCCCCGGTGTTCAAGTGCTACTTTCCGATTCAAATTTCGACCACGGGAGGAAAAAAAAAGAAAAAAAAAAAAGGGTTTTCTATACGTTCATCGGCGACAACGGGCTTCTGAAGGCGGCTAGGGCGAAAGAAAAGATGATGGCTGGAGGAATGTCTTCACTTTGCGTTATTCTTTCCCATTTCTTTGGTGTGTCAAAGGGAGAAAACAACAACCGCCACGAAACGCGATGGAGTTTTACTACTGTGCTTGCTGTTGTCTTTGTCTGAGTGGGTGCGTATTTTCTTGGCTTGAAAGTCAGGTGTTGGTTCAAAGGAAAAAAAAAAAAATGAAGGGATATTTTGTGCGATATCGATGTCGAGAAGTTTTTTTTTCTTTCTTTCTTTTTCCTGTTTTTTTTTTTCTGTATTTTCTTTTTTTTTTTTTTTTTTTTTTTTCTTTTTTTCTCTCTCTCTTTTAAAAACTCGCCGAAGTTTCAAATAAATTTTTATTGAAACGTGCCAGGCGTCCCGTGCTGTGCCTCCATCCCACCTGCCGGCCGTGGGGGCCGAGCGCTGCCCCCACTCCCCCCCCCCCGTCCGCTCCTCTCAATTCCCGCAGCTC